GAGAAGTTTGACATAAAGACATGCATATACGAAAAATAAATTGTAATATGAAGTTACCTGGAAATAATTGGGAGAGGGAGATGGAGAGGAAACCGAAAAAAAAAAATGGCCAATCAGTGGTGGCCAACAAAGATGGGAACTTTACAGAATCACTGCCAGCTAGGGTTTGAATCGTCTGATCGCTGTTTTACAGATAGGGGGAGAGAGAGAGGGTTCAGGGTGAGGGTGAGTGTGAGGGTGAGGGCTTGCACGAATGGAATGTTAGGGTTAGGGGTTTATTGATCGCTGTTTTACAGAGAAGGGGGGAGAGAGAAGGCTGCACGAATGGAATATGAAAGAGGCATTAGGGCTTGCAATTAGGTCATTGTAGAAAAGGGTATTTTAGGCAACACATAAAATAGGAAGAAGGGCATTTTAGGTAACACAAATTATAAACAGTGATTTTTCATGTGCCACCTCAGCTTTTGGTGAAACCCATTTTAGAGAAACTATGGTGCTTTGACTCTATGTATAGGTAAATATGGGCCACTAAGCCCATTTATATGTAAAAATCCCTTTATTATAATCAAATTAGTACCCGCTTGGAGTTCACATACATACCTGTCTCGTTAAGAGATGAGCTTACCTATGTCCTCCCCCGCCCTCGTTTTTTTCGTTTTTTTTTTTTTTTTTTTTTGTTATTTGTATAAATAAATTGATAAAATTTATAAATTCTATACAATGTAAATACATAGTAAATAATGATATTTAGTTAATGATCGTTGTTAATGGTGTCGGGTTCTCTGCTGTTGCGTGGACTCATCTTAATTGATCTCCGACAAGACCTCTTCCACGGTTTCATTGCAAAGTGGGATTAAAGTGGCAGCAGCCATCCATATATTCATGGTTGGTTGGAAGTTGAATAAGCTTGGTTTCGTTCAGTAATCCAAACACTATTGAGGAATTCATCCATGTAGTTGATTTTAATTGATCTCCCAATAAGTGAGAAGATTGAGTTTTGTTTGTTTGATGAAGAATTTGAGTGTTCATCGGGTGGTTGTGGTTCTTTGAATTATCGACTCTCAATTAACTATGTTAGTAGCCTATTGTAATCGATTAGAATGATTAATAAATTTTAAAAATTTTGTTTCTTGTCTCCCTCTAATTTTGTAATTTTGCTTTAATGGTATTTGATAGTAACAGAAAAATTCAGTAAGTTTTTATTTATATTTGGTTTTATACTAAGTCGCATAAAGTGGTAGCTAAAGCGCAAAAGCAACAAAATAAAATTACAAACAAATAGTGAGAATGGGAGCTAGATTTACACCTATTAAAAAGAATTGTATGACCTAGATCTTAACACAAACACACTTGTCATAGGCTAGCTACACCTATTGTAACTTCTGCGGCTAGCTATTGGTCACTGTTTGGTGTTTGTTTGAGTGTGTTTGGATCATAAAAAAACAAACATATTTTAGCCACTACATGAATAGCTTCCTAATGAGATTGAGGAAAAACTTCAAGACAAAATGGCTGAGCTAAATCTAGTTTATGATTATTTTAAGTGCTGTTAGGAGGAGATTGAAACAGCACTAGACCGTCAATAAGCACATCAATCTTAAGAATCATAGTGTGAACTATACAGGTCCATAGAACACGTGTGCCAATAGGGGAGAGAAAACCCTAACGTACCTCGATCTGGAAGGAGAAAGAGAAGGAATGAGAGAAACGGTATAATAATACTTGTTTAACCTTCCGAAAAAAAACCTTGAGGAGTCATCCAAACCAACATGAATTCGTTTTGATTTTTACAAGAGTTGGGCTGAAATATTTAAACATAGCACAACTTTGTCATATATATGTATGTTTATACATGATTTTAACACACACACACTAGCCACAGGCCTAAATACCACACATTCACTAGTACATAATGGAACACATACACAAAACTAGTAGTAATCATGATGCTACTAATAAGCTACATATGATCAAAGTAGTTTCACGGCTTATTTATCATTAAGCAGTAGTTGCCATGGACTGATATATATTCAAAGCATATAATTTTAAATTTTTAAGCTCATTACATCAGCAAACTATAGAGCATTTCATTTTATTTTTGTCCAAATCTGAAAACAACCTTACAAATCAACATATAATTTCATAATCACACACATGATCCAAAATCAAAGAGAGATACCATTTTAATGGAAATATCAAAAAATTAGATGTTTGGATACAATAGAAAATCAAAAATTTAAATTGAAATTAGGGCAAATGGATTTGTCAATTAATTAAGGTTTGGAGACATTCGCTCATCTCTGCCTACAAATCCTTTCAGAAATTTCACTATGTGCCAACAGCTCTTGATTAACGAACTTGTTTGCTGAGAAAGATTTATTTTAATATCAAATTTTCTTCAGGAAACTGACTTTCGTCATGGAAGTCCTAAAGGATTCATCACTCCTACTAGACTATAGGTGAAGAGAAGAGGGGAATTCACTGGACAGAAACAGAAATAATAACGATTAAAATCACAGAATTAGGCGATTATAACAAGGTACCTTCGTCCTTGCTTACTCACTGGTAGAACTGAACAACAGTGATTGGTCGTTGGCTTTCGTCACTCCCCTTTAGTCGCTGATCGCTACTCGCTACTCGCTATTCGCTGTTCATCGTCTTCTTCGTCGCACGAAAGTCGTCAGGTTAGGGCGTTGTTTTACAGAGAGGCGGAGAGAGAGAGGGCTGCTGCATTGAACGAAAGGTTATGATATTAGGGCTTGCAATTAGGTCATTGTAGGAAAGGGCATTTTAGGCAACACATAAAACAGGAAGAAAGACATTTTAGGCACCACAAGTTCTAAACAGTAAAAATCCATGTGCCACCTCAGCTTTTGGGTCAAATACATATTAGGGAAACTATGGGACTTTGACTCAGCCTCTTAGTAAATATGGAGCCCTAATCCCATTTATATGTAATAATCCCTATATATATATATATATATATATATATATATATATATATATAACAAAAAATTATATAAAAAAATTAATTCACAAATAGGTGTAAAAAAATTATAAAAAATTTGTTTTTTTTGTTTTTTTTTTTTTTTTTGACTAGATATTTTAGATTTTTGCTCATTTTTAATTAGATTTAATTTTAATTTCCTTCTAATATCTACAACTTGACTTGGAATGTGCCTAATATTAATATTATTGATGCAAATATGAATGGTGGGAATGGTAGTTGAAAATGAATTGTGGTAGTGTCAAAAAATAGCATTTTGCACCATTGGAGCAGAATTGCTAAATTGTAGCATTTTGACACTGTAACATCTGTCAAAATATAAATTTGGCATCCGAATTTAGCTTTTAGCATTGGAGACACTTGTAGTGTCAAAAATAGCATTTAGTGAGTTATAAACTGACATTTTAGTATTTTTAGCATTCGCGGCCTTATTTGTTCAAAAATGAAATATTATAAAAATTTTAAAGCCGGGTTATGGTATATGAGTTGGAAGCAAATGTCTATACATGTGTTTATATAATATATAAATAAATAAATATGAGGTTGTGTTAATGTCATGGAATCAGGATCTTTATGATTCCTCGTCGGGATCGAATGTTCTGTTGAGGAGCAATTGTTGATGTTCTTCGTCAGGTGGCATGTTTCTGGAATTCGGTTGCTTTTAGATTTTACAGAGAGAAAGAAAGGAATGGCTTTGCCTCTGCTTTCAATTGTGCTTGCTTTAGTTTTAAGCGAGAATAGACAGTGTAGTGGACTGGTAGTTGAGATTGGGCGGTTAGAGACAGCAAATTTTTATGCTACAAAAATACATTATCATCTGAACAAAATTGTAAAAATAAAATAAAATAATACAGAGTACATGAATTAAATTAAATATAAAGTCTATAATATGGATCATTAATTATCTTCTGGGATTATTTTTGCCGCATTTGTTGCGCTCTCATTTGTTGAATTGATTGTATGGCATTATCATGAAATCAATTCAACTCATTGAAAATGTGATTTGATGTAATAAAAATAGGTATAGTAATATTTTTTTACCTCTCAAAAAGTTTTACATATCTACTTGTTTTTTTTTATAATTTTTTATTTTTATTTTTTTTCAATTTTAATGTATAGAACATTTGTGCCTTCTTCGTTTATTTCAAGGTATGGGCGAGACCATGCATGTTCACCGATTTTGCCAGGTCAATTTTGTAATCTTGCTCGTTACCAAGAAAAGTAAGAAGTGCGGCAGTTATTAAATTCTGTATGGACTTTTGTTTATATTTTTGTGCTTTAACCTTGCCTATCAGAAGAAGCAGAGTAAGAAATAAGGGTTAGTTTGGTGTGATGGAATGAAATAAAAGAAAGTGAAATGAAATAATATTTTTTTCATTCTCGTGTTTGGTGTCAATTTTAAAGTTGGAATCATCATTCTCCACTATACTTATAGAATAGTCATTCCATTAAAATCATTCCACCTTTAAACAAAATGAATGACCATTCCATTCCATTTCATTCAATTCCTACCTCCATTCTCATTCTATTCCAATTCATTTCATTACACCAAACTAGCCCTAAAGGGTAATAATAAAAGTGCATTATACTGCTTCATTTCCAATTAAGTGTTGTCGTTAAACACTTAATTTAAGAGGGACTATAACATTTATTCAATCAGTCCATTTAATTCATTTATGTCTTCATCGAAAATTTGTGCCTTCATTTATGTCAAGTCAAGGTATAGGTAAGAGTCATGGCAATCCACCAAATTTTCTAGAGTGGTCCAATTTTGGTAATCTTGCTCATTACTCATTTACTGAAAAAGGTACTAGCAGTTATTAAACTCTTGATGGAATTGTGTGTCTATTCTTGTTAAATTTACGTTTAGGTTTTGTCATTATTATAGGTGAAAGGCCAGACGGAAAGTGCGAGGAAGGTGGAGTCCGGGTCGTGCATTATATACTGCCTATTTAAGCACATTCAAGTTCATTATATGCATGACTCACAATTTTTTAAATATGCCAGAGGGGTGGTTGTTACAATTGGGATGCCACCTCACCTGACATAAAAGCCTCTGTTGAGCTCCCTTTATAAAAGCCTGCTTCTCCCTTCATCACCCTGCACCAAAAATCCCTTGATTTCTCACTCAATTAGCTTATTCTCTTACAACTAATTGAACTTCCGATACTATCATGGCCGTAGAGTACTCTCGTCTTTCGTCCCCAGTTGGCCCTCCAGCCTGCGAGAAGGACGCCAAAGCTCTTCAATTCATCGAAGAGATGACCAAAAATACTGATGTGGTGCAACAGAAGGTGTTAGCCGAAATACTGACCCGAAACTCCGAGACCGAGTACCTCCGGCGGTTCCTACTCAGTGGGTTGACCAACCAAGACACCTTCAAGTCAAAAGTACCGGTCGTCACCTATAAGGACCTTCAGCCCGATATCCAACGAATTGCTAATGGCGATCGCTCCCCTATCTTCTCGTCTCACCCCATCTCTGAGTTCCTCACCAGGTTAAACTCTCATTATATAATTCTTTATATAAATCATATATGCATGTATATATATATATATTTGTTTATATGCATGCATGTATATGTAAATTTGTTTTGCATGCACGTGTCATATATGTGTGTTGATGATGAAGTTAGGACTTGCAGTTCTGGGACATCTGCTGGTGAAAAAAAGCTGATGCCAACTATTCAAGACGAGTTGGACAGAAGACAGCTATTGTACAGTTTTCTCATGCCTGTGATGAACCTGTAAGTATTTTAAAATGAGTACACACACACACATGTTAGTTTATAAGCAAATATAAAATCCAGATAATTAATTTAATGAAATATTTTGAACAGTTATGTGCCAGGATTGGACAAAGGGACGTGTCTGTACTTCTTATTCGTGAAGGCCGAGACCAAAAGTGACCATTTCAAGACTCGGCCATATGACCATTATATGGTCTATACGAGTCCTGATGAGGCCATTCTATGTCCTGACTCTTTCCAAAGCATGTAAACTCAGATGAGTATATGAAAAGTTTGACATAGACAACAGTAAATAAGAGAAATTCCAAATCAAGTTCTATAATAAGATAAATATATCACAGTCGGAGATTTAAGTCGAGCTCATGTGGATCCGATGCTTGCTTCGCCTGTTTGTCCATGTGAAAGCTTCCTGTCATCAAATCCATCGCTTCTTCAACTATCAAGGGTGTCCATGCCACTCTAAACCCTGTGATGGCATCACTAAATCTTGCAACCATACTACTCCCTCCTCTGCTTGGTTTGTGCACAAGCGAGTGGGGCTGGACACCAAGAGATGGTGGCAATGTTGAATTAAACGGAGACCCCCTGGTTGTCATCATCATCATCAAACTGGCCATACCTTTTTGCTGCTCCTCTTTCTCTCTTGTGTGCATTCTGGTGACCACCCAAAGCTTGTTTACTGAAGAACTTCCTCATGCAGAAATTGCATGAGAAGACCTTGTTACCAGAAGGCTTTGTCTTGGGATCACTCTCTGAGACAGTGACGGGCTCACTTCTATGAAGGCTCAAACTAAACCAGTCACCTAAATTTTCATCTTCAACACTTCTTTCATCGTCACTTGTTTTTGACTCATTGTTTTGGTTGTCGATCGGCATCTCATTTGTTTCTCTCTCCCTCCAAAAGACCATTGCAACACAACTCTAAATTTCTTCAAGGTATACAGAGGCTTACAGAACTGAACATGCCTGACTTTAGAAAGGGTAGATCAAGGAGGCTTTAAATGATCAGGAATATAGCACAAGGAAAAGGAAGTGATGAGATATTTTATTAGTGTTCCTACCTAGTGCAGGTTCTTTTGAGGGCAAATACTTATGTCATCTTCACCTGTTGCCCATGTCAAAATTAGGAATCTCTACTTATCTTCTTTCTTTTATAATAAACTCTAAAAACTCTCAAAGGGGTTAGTAACAGAAGAAAAACTATAAACCCATGATTTATTATTTTTTCCCTTGATTTATTGACAATGTAATATGTCACAATTTGTTATTACCACGGGTGATCGGCCTAGAGGGGTTCAAGCTCCAAGTGGTGTCAAAATGTGTGTTGTTTACCTAAAAATAAGTACCGTTATGTTATTTATGTTCTTAAGATATGAAGAATTATATGTGTTTCTTAGAGAGAGAGAGAGAGAGAGGCACAGTTTGTTGCATAGTTGGACCGTATAGAGAGCATAACGGGAAGGCACATCACTGATTATAGCCAACATCATTACTCTCTCTGATGCACTTCCGACAAATGTGCTACAACTAACAAAATTTTCGAACATGTTTTATTTAGTTCCCTGGAAATAGGTTTTCAAGAACTTTGAAAACACACAAAAAAATTTAGATAACTATAGAACATAGTTGTATGGATTTAGAAATTTGTTAACTCGGTTCAAAAAAGGGAAAAAAATGAAAAATTGAACAGATAAACAACCAAATAAAATTTCAAATATTTTATTTTCAGTCATCTAAGAGTAGGAAACTGTTCTCAAGAAGCTAAAGCAAGCGGAGCTTCATTTCATATTTTAGGAAAACCACCAGGAAAGAAAAAAAAAAGTGTTTTCAATGTAAAAAAACGGGAAGGCCTTCCTGTGCAACACTAGAGTTCAAGAGAGAGATTAAAGGAAATTAAAATTAGTTAGCATATTACGGACTTGTCAGAAGATACTGGAGTGAGTGAAGAGAATAATATAAATGTGTGTGCGTGCGCATGTGTGTCATGGAGTGATAAAAGATGGACCAGACACGAGTCACATCCAGCAACATTCTAGGATGCCTTCGATGTACTGATTCTATACGCGAAGGCGACAGCCACAATATTGTAAAAAAGTTGATGCAATCTCTTCAAAGGAGAATAACTCATACATCCATTTCGACATGTCCTATGTTCTCCCAAAAGTTGGTTTTGAGTTCAAAATAGTTTCTGAAAAGTATCATATATTTATCAAACTTGTTCTAAAGGATCTGATTTCCATCATGAAATAGAGAGATATACAAAGGGATCCCTCTTGGTGTTTCCTATTCTAGCTAGGTTAGCTTTAAACTCCACTTTCCAATCCGTTCAATTGGTAATAAACCAGCTTTAAATACTTCAGGAGAAAATTTTCAGGAATAATGCCCCTTTCAATTATTATTACTGGTTGCTTCACTAAGAATACTTTTCAAAACCAGATGAGGGCATAAAATAGATCACTTTGGATAAACTGTATGCAAATTGCTTTCAGCTTGCTTCTTCATCCTCGTTTATGCTCATCATTGCTGATGTCCTAAGAACATACCAAGATCAAACCAGTAAGGGGGGCTAGATCAGTAAAAACCATTAGAATAGATGACTCAATAAGCATTCACAATTCATAAAAACAAAATGCAAAACAACCAAAAGTTAGTTTGTATAGTTCACAGCTTATTACCCAAAAAGTAATTAGAGTTGAAGTATTTCGGTTGTCAGGTATACCGTATTCCAAATCCTGATGTTTGTGTCATCAAACCATATACTAGACATACTAATGTACTGCCCTCTGCCAAACTATACTTTTCAAAGATGAAAAGTAACAAATAGATGGAACTAGGATTTGACTATATAATACTATACGTGCAACTGGAATCAGTAATTCCTTTTGGACCTAAACTAAATAGTAACCCATAGGCTAATATCATACATAATTTTAAAATGACCAAATGCAGCTCTACTACAAGTAGAATGAAATGACTAGTGTGGAAAAAACAACAATCATAACCAAATTTCTAATGGAACAGGCTTCTAGATTTAATCAACCCAAAAATACCAAAGTAGATTTTTTAGGGTAACTTATAGGGGTGCAACTTGGGGGGACTGGGTGTGTGGCACGGCCTGACAGACGCATGTGGTAAAAAATATAGCACTTTCAACAGGCGTTATGCCGGCAGACATGTATCATAAAGATAAACACGTGTCTCTATGAGGAGAAATTATACCACATTTCAGCACACGAGCACACCTAAATTCAACCTGCTGTTCTAAGTTAGTCAGAACAATTCCAAATATGCAATTCAGGCACTATGGTCAAGTAACCCAAACTCCATCCATGTGGAACCAGTAAGGAGTCTCAAATCACATGCTTCAACAGTGATGGGGCATTATGACAATGCCACGCCAACTTCCAACAGGACACTCACCTATTTCAGGAATCATTAAATCATTTATTAGATGGATAGGTGAAACTTAGATTTAGTTGAGAATGTTGACACTGAATATATACTTCCATCAGACACCAGTATTCCAGGCATAAAAGCATCCTTCATATATATGCTGGGTCGTTCAGATTTGGCCGAGAATGTTGATCTGAACAAGATCAATAATAACACAAGCACTAACAAACTTTGGTGCTGTTTGATTACTCAATTCAGCGCTTATCCAATTAAGTGCGTTTGATAATGCACTTTGAATATCGCTGAAAATGATAAGCGTCAGTTAAAATGGAGTAAAATTTTAAGTGACAGAGACATCACTTATACTGAATGCTAAACGCTGAAAATTCAAAAAAGATATCAAAAAATATTTATTTTTAAAATACCACTTGAAAACTTCAGCACTTTAAAGTCAGCTCTTAAAAATTTCAGTACTTATTTTTCAGTTTTATCAAACAGCACCTTTGCCAGTGTCCTGAATATGTCTTCTAATATAGGTCCTTTTTCCTGCTGATAAATAGCTTGCAGTGCAATATTTTGCAGGCCTAAACACTGCTATTGAGGTATCAAAAATAGTTAATCTAGGGTAGGTAAGTTTAGAAATCAATGCAACTAGTCAACCACTTTTCTATTTGATTCTAGGGGTTGGAGAAGTTCTGAAACCCTCTTTGCCATCAAATTTTCAGAGTTTGTTGTTTTAACGAAGACCAAATATGCAAAAACAGGCAACAAAATGCAATATATATATATACACATATATATGTATATTACCAACATACCATCAATTTCAGAGATGAAGCAATAACTCATATATGTGCCGGCATGAAGCACAAAGAACCATCACATGATGGCTTAACACACAATCAATTTAATGTAATCCCAAGACAATCTCCTAATGCACCAAGTTTTTTTTCAAAACAACAAAAAGGGAACTTAAAGCCTCTCTCTCCCAAGGGCATGTCCCCACAAGATATATTTCTAAAACTTCACAATATGTAGCACTTGGCATGCTGACCCTACAGTCAATTATAACACGTACAACAAACAATAAGATCATCAATTACATTAAAAAAAGGGTTTTATACCTAAAACATCACATACAATAAAACCCCCACTCACTCGCATATATAGAATTTACTTCTCAAAAAGAGAGTAGGTTTTTATTAGAAAAGAACACTACATTTTTCTATATAGTTTAAATTATATTTATAACAATGATATATGCCCAACCTTAAATGCTGGTAAATACGACCATGTTTCCCTCCCCTGTTTTTCTTTCAACACCAGCAACCTATTGTTGGAAAAAGTTATCCAGCAATCAATAAAATAAAAATAAAAAAGAAAACCACCAAAGCCTTGGCTTGAGTGGTATGTCACGGCCAAAGCCTTGGCTTAAGTGGTATGTCTTCTACCTCCTCAAAGGGGAGGATGAGGGTTCAATCCCCCAGTGAGTGCATATGTTTGTGAGTAAATTTAACGATTGACAAAAGAAAATACAAACGACAAGCACTCACAGTGTTAACTATTGACAAAAGAACATACTTGCAAAACTGGTTAGAACATACATTGCAATCAATTTACCTAATATGACCAAAAATAACTAAGACATAACAGAGAAAATAACGAGTGTGATTGAACCAATTGATCTTTTTATTTCTCTTATAGTTCTTCTGATTACTCCAGAAAAATTAAAAGAGTAAGGTCTTATTCCAGAAAATTTGTTGTTACAGTGTGTCCATACATTTTCTTTGTGCAAACTGCTTCAAAAATTAGGTTAAAGGGTGAATCTAAGCAGTAAAAGGTGTAAAACAACACCCC